AATTGAAAAATTAGACGATTACAATTCGGAAGCACACAGATTACAAAGGCCTTAGCCGCTATTTATACTAGATCCTAACGACCTTACATACAAGATCTTGACGCGTGAAATCATCTAAGTCACCCAAATAAAGTCTATTAAGTCCTAGTCACGTGAGAAGCACATGCAGCTAACAACCTTCGAAAACTGTTAGAACAAAATCTTCTCAGAAGACGAAATCCGCAGACCCTCTGTGAGCCATCTCAGAGGCTCTGCTGTAATTGACTTGCATGTTCTTATTGACAGAGGACCATTTTCCAGAACCTCTGTGAGAGACATCAGAGATTCTGTCACACTTTACTTGCTCGAATATAAGGCTTCTGTTGTTAGTCCTCTGTTGTCTTCTGTGGAAGATATCCTTCTGTCAAGACTTGCAGAATACTTTTTCTATACTTTTACAAGAGATGAATAATGAAGCTAACAGCACACATGCAGACAAATAATTGAAGTTGTTTCTTGGTTTTTATGCATGTGTGCATGTTATACATGTGCACACCAGACAAATTGCTTATAGTTACTTGTATGCATATATATATATATATATATATATATATATATACACACACACACACACACATATATATATAGGGTCAGGTTCAGAGGAAAACCATAAAAAATGAAAAACTAAGAACACACTGGTAAGCGTTCATCTGGACGATATGCACATGTGTATACTCATAATTTTTAAGCAATTTTTCCGATATGCACACATGCATAACAACCAAGAAACAATTTCAATTACATATCGTTCATACGAACGGTTACAAAGAATGTTCCTTACTTTTTCATTTTTTTTGTGGTTTTCTCTTGAACCTCCCTCCTCCCCCCCCCCCTCTCTCTCTCTCTCTCTCTCTCTCTATATATATATATATATATATATATATATATATATATGGTCAGCTTCAGAGGAAAATATTTAAAAAAATGAAAAACTGGGGAACACTCTTATAACCGTTCATCTGGACCATAAGCACATGTACATACAAGTAATTTGTAAGCAGTTTGTATAGTATGCACAAGTACATAACGTGCATAAAATCAAAAAACAACTTCAAACTTATATGTATATGTGTATATGGTCCAGATGAACGCTTACCAGGTTGTTCATCAATTTTTCATTTCTTTGAGGTTTTCTCTTGAACCTCCAAATATATGTGTATATTATATATACACACACATATGTTTAAGGTTAGGTTCCAGTGAGAAGGTAAGTTAAAGTGATTTGTAAGAAATGATCTCTCCACCCTTAGATGCATATTAGGATGAGATGCACCAGAACAATCTTCGTATCAAACGCGATTCATGGGTGAATTTGAGATTAAAGGTGATCAATTCAAGGGTCTAGATCCCCGTATCAAACGCGATTGTTTGCATATAATTATAAAAATCTGCAAATTTATGATGAATTAGTGTTGAAAATTTAATGAAGGAAAAACGTAAATAAAAGGGCCTTCTCTAATATGGTCACGTCTAATGTGTGAGTTGCTACTTCCATTTTTGAAGAATTAATTAAATAATAGTACATTGGCTTCCTTTTCTAAGTGAGAGCGACTTGGTGTTGACCACGACTTACTCATAATAAATCTGGAAATGCATAAACCACACAATTTATATATCATCTTCCAAAACCTACCAAATGTTGACATTGAACCATCATTTTTCTTCAATATTCAAGTAAGTTACATGTCTTATATATGTGTCACATCTACCTCAATGTTTTGAACAACTGAAATCGATATGCTACACACAATTATGATTTAAAGGCCTTCATTGGTTCACATACAATGGATTTTGGTTTAAAATTCAATCCTATCCAATTGAAAAAACACACACACACACACACACATATATAGAGGTTCAAACGAGAACACCTCTATTTCACGAGAACACCCATATCACATATGATAATACGCGTTAGGGAACCTGGTGGTATGTGGAAGACGTGTTCTACAACTTAGCTACGCCAAAGGTTGTTTGCGTCTATGATTTAGCATCACATGTGATGATCATGATGGATTATAGTATCATATCAACAACACTCTTATCACATGTGAGGGGGCTTTATCTGATTTCATAAATTTGAAACAAAAAATAAATTCTCAATGAATCCAAAATAGCCTGACCCTCAAACCAAGATCGCTCACGTTTCTGATTTAGTATCACATGTGATAGTCTATTGTAAAAGAGTGTTCTCGTGTCCTCGTAAAATAAAAATGTTCTTGTTTAAACCATTCCTTATATATATAAAAGGTTTACTTTGGTTTAATTTTTTTTTGTTATAATATTTTTTTAATTGTTTTTTAGTTTAACTTTTTCTTTTGTTAGTATTTTTTTATTTTAATATTTTAAGGTGTTCAATTTTTTTCTTTAGTGTTAAATTTTTTTAGTTGTTAAATGTTTTTAGAATATTTTTTTTTATTTTGATTGAATTTATAATTGTTTTGTTGAACGAAAAAGTCAAATCGAATTTTTATTAGTCTTTGAAGCAATATAAGTAATTTTTGGCAAAATATACTGTTAGGTTTTTGTGTCTTGTTTAAAATTTTGTGAAAATTATTTTCATTTCTGGATCTAATATTTTTCTTTCTTACAGGAACAATGTTTGAGGAAAACATCCCTAACCCACAAAGGTTTGATGAGGAAAACCAAATCCCCTTAGTCAGATTTGACAATATTTCCCAGTCAGCAAATAACCAAATCCCTGATGAAACCCTTGTTCCACAATATCTTTATCTTGTTCATAATTTTTTGTTTTTCTTCATTTTTTGTAATTATGAGAGGTGATTAATCATTTTTATTGTGAAGAGTGTTAATCATGGATATTATCATCTTCATTATATTAATTTTAGAGAAATATATGAAACGGTTTCATTAAAATTTCATAAGTATTATATGAAACAATTYYATAACCATATATAAAACAACTTCATCAAAAAAAATATTATATAAAACAATTTCATAAAATTAAAAAATTCAATGAAAAAATTTCACATACAATTAAAAGATCCTTTATCCTTGATTACGACTAAAAGATCCTTTATTCTTGATATTTGAATGGTAATTGGATTGTATCGTTCATGTTTTATTGGATGAAAAGCCGTAGTTATAATGATGCCACACATGAATTGAATTTGAAGGATCCGATGATATGATGAGTTTGAGTTATTGAAAGATAGAGATGTTAGGACATGATTTCCCTTTCACCCACTACTTTTTGTTCGAATCTTTTCTTTGGTTGGTGGCTGACTGCTCCTCAATTCATTAAATTAATTTGCGTTTTATTTTTAATATCAACAAAAAAACAAAATTTTGAAATTATAAATAATAAATAACAAACCGACTAATGTCTTTATTTGCACAAAATTAATGTAGACTCTATAGAGGGTATCTTGGAAACAAATGGGGTTAACGTGCTAATTCTTCCATCAACATTAAAACCTTCTTTTTTTTACAATATTTAATGCTATGATTTAACTTAAAATAGTAGTATCCAAAAAGATGTATATAAAGTAAACAACAAAAGGGCCCTTTACCTTAAGGAATTGAACACACCATCAGCATGCCACTAAAGTTTCACGCATGCACACTCAGAAAATCATGCAGTATGCATGTATGGTCTCTAAAATGCTTCATTCACTTGAGTTGTACAGGTAATGATGTATATCAGGTGTTATATTTTTTGGACACTTATAGTCTACTTTTTAGATGTATCATGTTATAATTATTATATGAGAACCCTTTAAATCTTTCTCTAATAAAAGGTCCTTTAAGAGAGAAAATGCGTTCCAAAACACACACACATATATACATATACATATACATATACATATACATATACATATACATATACATATACATATACAATCATTTTTACTTTGATAGATCATTGGTGAATATATATATATATATATATATATATATATATCTATCGTGTTCATTTTCAAGATTATAAAATAACATGGAAGTAAGTGGGTTTGGCAATGGCAATAGCAAGTACCTTCATTGGTGAATATCTAATTAACATGCAGTTGGATCTAAAGCTGGCAAAAAAGAAAAGAAAATAAAATAAAAAGTAGTTGATGAAATAATAATGCACTCAGGATGACGTAAAAAAAAAAAATATATATATATATATATATATATATATATATATATAGATATAGAACGAAAACAAAGTAACCCAAATGAGTTATACCAACCTAACTCGGATAAACTAAATGGTCACCACAAATTTGGCTTCATATCATTTTTGACATCATTATATCAAAACAGTAACACAAGTTTCCACTTTTCTCAACTAAAATTCTCTCTCTATATACGCATTTCTAAAATATGATATTCCCACGAGACTTGGTTCCTACAGAAAACAAAACAGAATCTTAAATTATCATGTACACACATATATATACATATATACACATATAGGGTTGGGTTCACGTGAGACCAGCCTGTTTTCGTGAGACCCGTGAGACCACATTTTTACACGTAACCTTCACAGTAAAAACACTGTGAAGGTTTAAAAAAAGTCGAACCTTCACAACAAAAACACTGTGAAGGTTTTAAAAAGTCACCTTCACAGCATTTTGCTGTGAAGTTTCAAGTGTAAAATGTTGGTCTCACGGGTCTCACGAAAACAGGCTGGTCTCACATGATCCTAAGGTAGCGAAATTCCTTGTCGGGTAAGTTCCGACCCGCACGAAAGGCGTAACGATCTGGACGCTGTCTCGGAGAGAGGCTCGGTGAAATAGACATACAAATATTGTATTGTCTGGAATCAAAGGAAAACACAAAAAATCGGATAGGTGCAGAGGGGCCTGTAGCTCAGAGGATTAGAGCACGGGCTGGATCACCAGCTTCGAACAAAAAGATTTAAACGTATGACTTTCCGAAAAGTCGAAAACTAAGTGATATATATATATATATATATATATATATATATATATATATAAAAAGAGAGAGAGAGAGTTGGCACACAAGTTGAGTAGTATATATATATGTAAAGATACAGAGTTTGAAACTTACTACTTTTCAGCAGCTTTATGTGGTAATGATGTTGGAGGGTGAAGAAATATTTAGAGTTAGCAGTGCACGTATAAGCAGTTCTAATATATGGAGAAACAGTGGTAGAGATTTCTTTTCAAGGTCTTCATTTGAAGAAGAAGATGATGAAGAAGCATTAAAATGGGCTGCTATACAGAAACTGCCAACAAATCTCCGGTTAGAGAGAGGCATACTAACCGAAGAAAAGGGTCTACTAACAGAAATCAATATCAAGAACCTCGGATTGTCTGAGAAAAAAAATCTTCTAGATAGGCTAGTTAGAATAGCTGAGGAAGACAATGAAAAGTTCTTGCTGAAGCTTAAGGAAAGGATTGATCGGTAATTTCAACTCATTTCTCATCATATTATCATGTCATGTCTTGTTTTATATCATGCTTTGGTATTCATTTCTATTTTTATCTGAAATCCAAATAACTAAACACAGAGTTGGACTTCAACTTCCGACTATCGAGGTCCGTTTTGAGCACTTGAATGTTGATGCAGAAGCTTATGTTGGTGGCAGAGCATTGCCTACTATAGTCAACTTCTTGGTCAACATCCTACAGGTTCTTCTTCTTTCAACTCCTATATATATCTTTGGAAACAATCTCTCTGTCTCTTCTTTTTTTTTGTGTGTGTTTCTCTTACCTGCTAATCTGTCTCTAACACACACAGGGATCGTTAAATTTTCTGCATCTTCTTCCCAGCAGAAAGAAAACATTCCCAATCCTTCATGATGTGAGTGGTATTGTTAAGCCTGGCAGGTAAGTTAGCACAGTAAAAGTTGCATTTAAATCTATGCCACGGTACTTGTCATGATATGTAACAGCAATACTTATGGTTCCACAGAATGACATTGCTGTTAGGCCCACCAAGCTCAGGGAAAACAACGCTGCTTTTGGCATTGGCTGGAAAACTTGGGTCTGATTTACAGGTAACAGAACAGAGTCTAATAGGCTGTTGCTTACTGAATGCTTAATGGTTCTTATCGGGTAAGCACATATCAAGAGCCTCGCTTACCAGGTAAATGCTTACCCAATTTGTGTTGGTAAACGGACTTGACTGTCTCTTACCGGGTAAGAGCCTCTTACGGTAAGAAATTATGTTGTCATCTACACTTCTGACGGTCCGAAGTGCTCATTGAGTCAACCACCAATATGTCACTGATCGAGTCAGTCAGTACTTACCCAAATTGTTTTTATTGGTTTGCACTTACTACAAAACGCTTGGTAAACAACCATTTTCAGACAACGGTTATCCATACCAAACCGAACCTCACCCAGTTAGCACTTTCCTAATTTGTGTTGGTAAACGACCCCTAAGTCAATATTTCATTCATCTGAAACTGAAGGTGTTATGCATCCATGTTTAAATGACTCCAGGTATCCGGAAGAGTGACTTACAATGGGCATGAAATGGGGGAGTTTGTCCCACAAAGAACATCTGCTTATATAAGTCAATATGATCTCCATATTGGAGAAATGACAGTCAGAGAAACATTAGCTTTCTCTGCCAGATGCCAAGGAGTTGGAGCAAATTATGGTCAGTAAATCTATTATAATCTTTAATAGATATATATGTGCACCAGATAGAATTGACAAACTTTCAGATGATTACATATGTGCAAGACAGTGTGCTGTGTTTTAAATGGTTCATATAATCATGGAAATTTTACAGAAATGTTGGCAGAACTGTCTAGAAGAGAGAAGGAAGCAAATATCAAGCCTGATCCTGATCTTGACATCTACATGAAGGTGAGAGAGAAAACTAACCAATATTCATGATTATAAGTGCATGCATATCATCATAACAACTATTAATAGTTACCTAACTAAATCTTTGATATTTCTTGATCAAATTTTAGGCAGCATCGCTAGAAGGGCAAGAAGCTAGTGTTGTCACCGAGTATGTTATGAAGGTAAAAGCTTAATAAATGTAGAATATGAAGTGAATTTGTGAGAGAAAAAAAACACAGCTAAGTTCTGGTTTTTATGTTCATTCTGCAGATTTTAGGTCTTGAAATCTGTGCGGATATTGTAGTAGGAGATGAAATGTTCAGAGGTATTTCTGGGGGACAAAAAAAGCGAGTCACGACAGGGGAAATGATGGTTGGACCAGCAAGAGCACTGTTTATGGATGAGATATCAACGGGTTTGGACAGTTCAACAACGTTCCAAATAGTGAATTCAATCAGGCAATCAATTCACATTCTTCAAGGAACTTCCATGATCTCACTCCTCCAACCTGCCCCAGAAACTTATGACTTGTTTGATGATATAATACTTCTTTCAGATGGTCAAGTTGTGTATCAAGGTCCACGAGAAAATGTGCTAGAGTTCTTTGAGCACATGGGTTTCAAATGTCCCGAGAGAAAAGCAGTTGCGGACTTCTTACAAGAAGTAATATCAACTCTCAAGTTCCTTTTCCTGATAAATTTTGTTTTGGAATCAGAACTTTCATCTTATGATCTCCCAATACGTGAAACTGTAGGTAACATCAAAAAAAGATCAAGAGCAATATTGGGCTAGAATTAGTGAACCTTATAGTTTCGTTACTGTACAAGAATTCACAGAAGCATTTCAGTTGTTCCATGTGGGAAGAAGGCTTGGTGATGACCTTGCTGCTCCATTTGACAGAACCAAGAGCCACCCTGCAGCTTTGACTACTAAGAAATATGGTGTTACCAGAAAGGAACTATTGAAAGCTTGTGTATCTAGAGAGTACCTGCTTATGAAAAGGAACTCTTTTGTGTACATATTCAAGATGATACAAGTAAGTAACTTTACAGGATAATGTAGATTACTCAGGGGGGATGTTCCGATGTGTGTTTAAACTGATTATTAGGACTTGAACTAACACTAATTAGTATAGCTTGAGTGATAAAAAATGATATATGATTACTTATATGTTCATCACTCTTAACTACTTTTACCTGTTACTTGTTCAGCTTATTCTTTTGGCTACTACGTCAATGACACTATTCCTACGAACAGAGATGCCAAAGAAAACAATAGTGGATGGAACAGTTTACATGGGTGCTCTATTTTTCACAATACTCACCATGACATTCAATGGATTCTCGGAGCTTGCATTAAGCATAATGAAACTTCCTGTGTTCTACAAGCAAAGAGACCTTCTCTTCTTTCCTCCTTGGGTATACTCGCTACCCACATGGATCCTCAAGATCCCAGTGACAGTTGTTGAAGCTGCCACTTGGGTAATCATGACGTATTATGTCGTAGGATATGATCCAGATGTTGGAAGGTGAAAGTTTCTAGTTCAATCTAAATTATCTGTCTACTCTTTTGCAAATGGTGCATGCTTCAATGTCATGAATTTTCACCCTTGCAGGTTCTTCAGACAATTACTTGTGCTCATCTGCATTCAACAGATGGCTTCTGCAGTATTTCGTTTCATAGCAGCTTTAGGACGGAATATCATTGTGGCCAACACAATTGGCTCATTCTCATTTCTTGCCATTCTTGTGCTTGGTGGTTTCATCTTGTCCCGAGGTAAACATATTAGTCCAGATTGTGAAAACCACACTATCGCAATTAAATGGCTCATAATGAATCTGTCATGTGAATTTTCTCTCTGCCCAAGACTTTATTTCTACAAAACAGATTGTTTTCCAGAAATTAGACCTCCTTAATGCACTAGGTCGGGTCGGGCCTTACAACTCTAGATGGCTATGCATTTTTTGGTTGTGTAGAAACAGAAAAGCATGAAATTTTGAGTTGGTGCATTTCCTGATGAGCTATTGATGATGAACAAATAGAATAATTGGCCAATTCATATATACAACATTAGGAACACCAGAAACAATCGTAAGCACTCATGATTTTTAAACCATGTGGAATTAGGTGACCTGCATGTGGCAAGTCAATATAAAGGTCTTGACGACGTGCATGCGTGTTGAAGAGGCATATCCTCGAAGGATCCTTCCATGATAAGCCTATGATACTCAATTATCTGTGTGTGCACACACACACACACACACATATAGACAAGCATGTGCATGCAGATATACTGTACTTTTCTATATAGAATTCATTAAGATGATTAATTCCTTTTCTCACCTCAGATGATATAAAGAAGTGGTGGGCATGGGGTTATTGGCTTTCACCTTTGATGTATGGGCAGAATGGTATGGCTGTCAATGAATTCCTTGGAAAGAGTTGGAGACAGGTAATTAACCACTTGTTTAAACTTATACGAAGTCCTAGCTTCTAAATTAAGAAATAAATCATTTAGAGCTGGGATTTCTAGCTCATTTTATTTTGGTAGTTCGACCATGGAATGCCTTTGTCTGGCAGGTTTTACCAAACTCCACAGAATCATTAGGTGTTGCTGTCCTAAAGTCTCGAGGACTTTTCCCAGAAGCAAAATGGTATTGGATTTCCGTAGGTGCTTTAGTTGGATATGTTTTCCTCTTCAATATCTTCTTCATCTTGGCTCTCACATACCTCAACCGTAAGGATTCAATTTGTACCTTATTTTCTACCCAAGAAAGTGAAAATTTAACACAAACTACAATTCAACGTGTTATGATGAAATGGGTCATCTAATGCAGCCTTAGGGAAGCCTCAAGCAATTCAATCTGAAGAAACAGTGGCTGCAAGGAATGCTTTAAAAAAAGGAGATCCAATTGAATTATCAGTGAGAGCTTCATCAGGTGGGTCATCAAGAACCAATGTACATTATTTGTCACTGGAATAGTGAAGTTAACATAATCAAAATACAAAACATATTATGCAGAAATGAAGAATGAAGTTCGAACATCAAGATCAATGTCATCAAGAGTTGGCAGTATAATAGAAGCGCATAAGAAAAAGAAGCATGGGATGGTTCTACCTTTTGTTCCCCTTTCCCTTACATTTGATGAAATCAGATATGCGGTTGATATGCCTCAGGTAACTTAAGATACTGTATGAAAAAATGCCAAACGATCCAAGGTTTTGGGATGAATATAGTTCAGTTCCATTGCTGAGTCTATGCACCAAAATTCTCTTCCCTAACTGTAGTATGCATTTCACATTCACATTCACATTTATCGCTAGAACCTAAAATTACATCATTCTCATACTAAAGTAACATGTTTGCAGGAAATGAAAGCTGAAGGTATCACCCAACAGCAGCTAGAACTATTAAAGGGTGTTGGTGGTTGTTTTAGGCCAGGAGTTCTCACAGCTTTAATGGGGATCAGTGGTGCTGGTAAGACCACTTTAATGGATGTCTTAGCTGGACGAAAAACAGGTGGGTACACTAAGGGAAGGATCACTATCTCTGGGTACCCAAAGAAGCAAGAAACATTTGCTCGCATTGCAGGATATTGTGAGCAAACTGATATTCACTCCCCGCATGTCACAGTCTCTGAGTCCTTGCAATATTCTGCATGGCTTCGATTACCTGCTGAAGTTGATTCAGCAACCAGAGAGGTGAAAATAATAGAAAACCTCTTCGAGTCAGTACTCATAATACTCCAATGGAAATGTTTTTTACTCCTCCAATATTATTTGAAAAATGTTTTTTTCAGTAATAATATATGTGAATGTGATGTTTAGTTGTGGAATACTAATAGATGAACATTTGGCTTTACATCTTATGATCTGCAGATGTTTATTGAGGAGGTGATGGAGCTTGTGGAGCTAACTTCACTGAGCGAAGCACTTGTGGGATTGCCCGGCGTGAATGGGCTTTCAACTGAACAACGCAAGAGGCTGACAATCGCAGTTGAGCTAGTAGCCAACCCGTCTATAATTTTTATGGATGAGCCTACGTCAGGATTAGATGCAAGGGCGGCAGCAATAGTCATGAGAACAGTGAGAAACACGGTTGACACAGGTAGAACAGTGGTGTGCACGATACATCAGCCAAACATTGACATCTTTGACGCTTTTGATGAGGTAAGTTAATAAAGTTCTTTGGTTGTAACTGAAAACAAACACACACAAAAAGGAAATAATCATGGATTTTCCCATTTGCAGCTATTTCTTTTAAAACGAGGAGGGGAACAAATATACTTTGGTCCATTAGGACGTCATTGTTCTCAGTTAATCAAGTATTTTGAGGTGAGTAAATACCAATATATGATGTTTCTATATCTTGGGTTTAAATATTAACATGAATGAATCAACCTTGATTAATTTAAGGACATTGATGGAGTGAATAAAATTAAAGACGGCTACAATCCGGCAACTTGGATGTTGGAGGTGACCTCTGAAGCGCAGGAAGCAGCCTTAGGGGTTAACTTTGGTGACGTATACAGAAACTCAGAACTATACAAGTAGGATATCACAAGACTTGATACTATCTACAGTTGATGCATGCACTTATTCTATATACTAATTAGGTGACTAATTCAGGAGAAATAAAGAGTTGATAAAGGAAAATAGCCAACCTATACCTGGTTCCTCTGATATACATTTCCGTACTCAATATTCACAATCGTTCTGGACACAATGCATGGCATGTCTATGGAAACAACATTGGTCATATTGGCGAAACCCGCCATACTCTGCAGTGAGGTTCCTATTCACAACATTCATTGCCTTGATGTTTGGCACAATCTTCTGGGATATGGGCTCCAAAAGGTAACCCAACTAATAACAAAAAAAACCATCTTCCATTATTCTTAATTCTAACTAACTATTGGCTTTCCAGGGATAAGCAACAAGATCTTTTTAATGCAATGGGTTCTATGTACGCTGCTGTAACATTTATTGGAGTACAAAATGCTGCATCAGTCCAACCCGTTGTTTCTATTGAGAGGACAGTCTTTTACAGGGAAAGAGCTGCTGGGATGTACTCGGCATTTCCGTATGCCTTTGGACAGGTATGCTAACTGGTAATAAAATATTTTCTTCTTATCATCTTCCATCTTTTGTATGATGGACTAGAATATGTTGTTACTGATCATAGCTCAACTCTAAAATGGAATATTTTCTTCTTATATCATCTTCCATCTTTTGTATGATGGACTACAAATAATGTGTTGTTACTGATCATAGCTCAACTCTAAAATATAATATATATTATCATCTTCCATCTTTTGTATGATGGACTACCATATGTTGTTACTGATGGTAGCTCAACTCTTATGCAGATTATGATTGAGGTGCCCTACATTTTTGTTCAAACCATTGTCTACGGAATTATTGTATACGCAATGATTGGATTCGAGTGGACACTAGTGAAGTTCTTTTGGTATCTCTTCTTTATGTACTTCACATTACTATACTTCACATTTTATGGAATGATGACAGTCGCGGTCACCCCTAACCACAACATCGCTGCTATAATCTCATCTGCTTTTTATGCATTATGGAACCTATTCTCGGGATTCATTGTTCCAAGGACAGTAAGTGCCACTGCTTATGTATGTCTACTTACAGATTTATCATATCACCCACAAAAGACTAATACCAGTTTCACTACAATGAACAGAGGATCCCCATATGGTGGAGATGGTACTACTATATCTGCCCTGTTGCTTGGACATTATACGGCTTGGTTGCTTCACAATTTGGTGATATGGATGACGAGCTAGAATCAGGCCAAACAGTTTCAGAGTTCGTCAGCAGTTATTTTGGGTTTGAACATGACTTTATAGGCTATGTTGCATTAATCGTCGTTGGATTTGCCGTCCTCTTCGGATTTATTTTTGCATACTCCATCAGGGCATTTAACTTCCAAACACGGTAAAAAAAAAAGATTATTCATTGCCCAGATGAAGGTACACGAGACAACAGCCATCCATAAATTATTTCTTCTATTTCATCCTATGTGGTAGATAATTTTAGTGATAAACTGAGCTATGAACAAGACGACCAATGAATCATGCATGAGTGCTTTTATGTATGTGGATCAGGGGAAGGACAAATTTTGTGCAGTAAATGTCAGTATTGAACCATACCTCCTGGGCATTGTTGTTCTGCAACACCGCCAAGACTCATGATGTACTTGACCACATCCACGCCAAAATCCCACCCCGTTGAAATTAATGACTCATTGTGGGGTCATCTTGACCCTATTGTGTTACAATTGATATATGTTACAATATCCATTGATCTTCTCCACACAATTAGGGGTCGTTTACTAGATACTTACCCGGTAAGTGTGGATTGGGTAACTTTTCTCACCTGATACACATGGCAAGGGCTGAAAATCTTACCCGGTAAGAGTGATGATAGAGATAGAGAGTCTTGTCCAGTAAATAATGGTGAGGACTCTTACCCGGGTAAGTGTTTACCGGATAAATTGTTGCATACGATATCGTTCTAATATACTACAATCCTATCTGGTAAAATAGATTATAATTTGACTTCTATCGATAAGCGTTTACCGGTTAAGTATTTAGGTAAATGGCCCCTTAGTGTTCGGTATGGTACGTTTAACTTTTTTTAGAAAATATTGAAGTTAAATGGGTCGATGGTTACAAATCAATATTAAACTAATAAGAAGAGATATTATACTTGATATGAAGTCATCTCATCATCCTCGATCGTCTTTTTATATCATTAAATAATATATATATATATATATATATATATATATATATATAGCTGGTTCAAATACTAACCAAGATTTTTGTGTTAACTTTGTTAACCAAACTCAACCGATCATATTCCATCTTTTCTTTGGGTTCACATATAACTCATATTAATAAGAGTAATTAAGTAATTTGTCATTTATGTTACAAATCTAAAAATCTCAATAATTGATGATTATGTAATATTGACATTTTTTTATACGTGTTCATGTTTTGTAATTTCGATTTATTCAATCCATAATGATATTGATTTTGTAATTGTTAAAGAATTTCCGATTGTAAAGATTTCGATATCGTCCGAGTAATATGGATAAACTTATTGGAAAATAGATCGACAACATTGAGAATAAAAGGTCAAAATCGTCTACGACTACAATCGGAATTCAAATTCATATGTAATTGTTAAAGAATTGTTCACAAGTGTTCATATTGTGTTCATATGTACACTCGCTACATATCTCAAGATTGGTTTGCTCCTGAATGTTCATAATGAATGAACTATTGTTTACAAACTGTTCATATTGTGTTCATACCTGTTTTTTATTTATTTATTTTCGTGTAGTAACTATTTTTATTATATTCATATTGTCTTCATAAATGCTATACAGTCCAAGTTTATATATATGTCAATTTTTATTCGTATTTGACACAATGG